TATATTTGTTTTTTGTTAAGTTGCCTAATAATTATGCACAGTAATAGTCACCTGCACACACAGATATCCCCCTAAAATAGCTAAAACTAAAAACTACTTCCAAAAACATTCAGCTTTGATATTAATGAGTTTTTTGGGTTCATTGAGAACATGGTTGTTGTTCAATAATAAAATTATTCATCAAAAATACAACTTGCCTAATAATTCTGCACTCCCTGTATAGTGTGTAACTGTTAATATAGAGCGTTATTAATTTAGCGTTATCAATTTTAGATGGCACTCATCATCAGAAAGTTTGCCGACTCCTGGGTTAGACTTAAAGGGAAGGACTGTTCAGTGGAATTTTATAACATGAACATTTTAAAATTACATGTAATCTCCTCATTTCAATCACATATTGGACTTTCCTCAAAACAAACTAAGCTACACTAACTTTTGTGTCAGGTGAAAATAACGTTTAGAGGTTTTGTGCACAATACATCTGGTTACATCTGGTTGAGTTCAGTTGTGTAAATTTTTAGGATTAAAATGATTAAATAAAGCTGTTTTTTAATGTTTTCATATACACATTGCAATGTGCTCATTAAAGACTTGCCACTCCATGTTTTGAGGGTAGGGAGCTTCATTCGGCGCTATGACTGAATTGAAATATTGTGATGGACATGTAGAGTGCAAAGGGATGTTATTGTTGTATTATTGTTGGAGTAAAAACTCTACAGCCCAATCCAGGGTCATCCTTTGTGTGAAGACATACAGCTGATTTCACAGAGAGGTCCAGCGTTGTAACTTTCTTGTAATTTTCCAAAGCAAATTAAATCTTTTAAACAGACATTTCTCCTGTATGTCCCTCTGAAAAATACGAACACATCAAAATCCACAAGGAACAGCAGGTCAGCTGATCACAGCTTATACACCAAGAATTTAAATTCAATTCATACAGTGCCATAACACAGCAACAGTCACCTCAAGGTGCTTTATATTGTAAGGTAGACCCTACATTCATACAGAGAAAAACCCAACAGTCATATGACCCCCTATGAGCAAGCACTTTGGCGACAGTGGGAAGAAAAACTCCCTTTTAACAGGAAGAAACCTCTGGCAGAACCAGGCTCAGGGAGGGGCGGGGCCATCTGCTACGACCAGTTGGGGTGAGAGAAGGAAAACAGGATAAAGACATGCTGTGGAAGAGAGCCAGAGGTTAATAACAGATATGATTCAATGCAGAGAGGTCTATCAACACATACTGAGTGAGAAAGTGAGAAAGGAAAAACTCAATGCATCGTGGGAATCCCTGGCAGCCTACACGTATTGCATTGTATTGCATTGTACCCACTCTACTTTTAAATACTCTAGGAACAACAAGTAAGCCTGCAGTGTGAGAGCGAAATGCTCTAATAGGGTGATATGGTACTGCAAGGTCATTAAGATAAGATGGGGCCTGATTATTTAAGACCATGTATGTGAGGAGCAGGATTTTGAATTCAATTTTTAACAGGGAGCCAATGAAGGGAAGCCAAAACAGAAGAAATCTGCTCTCTCTTTCTAGTCCCTGTCAGTACTCTTGCTGCAGCATTTTGGATTAGCTGAAGGCTTTTCGGCGAGTTTTTTGGACATCCTGATAATAATGAATTACAGT